TAGAGGCATCTACATTTTAATAGCTGGATATTATGCGTGTCGGCGATTATGGGTGTCGGCGTTTTAAGCTATTTGATCATCGCATGTGTAAATATAAAACAATAGTTTAATGGCATGCAAGTTGCAATTAGGCACTGCAATAATGTGGAATTCCGGAAAGGGAAGTATTCCACATTGACAAATTATGGTCCTTATTCATCTTTCTGATTGAAGTAAGGTCACATATTCCGTTTCATCGTTTCTATTGTGGAGCTGAATACTATAGGTTAATATAATAGCAAAACTGCCTATTCATTACAATAAATAATTCAAGTATTCCACATTAGGAGACCGAAAATGCAGAGATGAGCTTGGTAATTTTTTTACTAAAGTAATAATAGCAACTTTTTTACACTTATAACTTAAAACAAGAAACTATATAAGAGGTACATTCAATATTAGACGTTGATAATACAATGCTTTATTATTTTGATAACTTTGGTAAAATAATAACAATAGCCCTTAAAATAAAAACGATAGCCATTCATATAAAAATGATAGTCATCAAAATAAAAACGATAGTCATCAAAATAAAAACGATAATCCACAAAATAAATGATACTGTAACAATAACTAAACGTTTTTAAATAAATAATTTGATGGTTTTGAATATAATAATAAACAATTAACTTATTCTTTTTAAATAAAACCATAACCGTCACTACAACATGACAGTTAGGGGAGGGGGAAGTATACTTGCCCCTAAAAAAAAAGACCTAATTAAAATTTATTTAATTAGACCTCTAACATTAAAGTTCTTTTTACTAAAAGAACTTACAAGTTTGTAAAAGAAGTTTATATTTAACAATAAAAATGTAATAAATTGTGAGGGACTTGATATAAATGTTGGGATTTTGGTGCCAGATAAATGGACAGGGACCTTTATTTAGCACCTCATATTAAGCGTTATAAACCTTATCAAAATAATACGTCTTTGTTTTGAACCACATGCTTGTTTACGTTTATTAATTATTTAGGAATAGGGAAGGTTTTAATGATAACGCTCAATTATTGCTAAAACTTCCCCAGAGATGGGGTTTAAACCACGGATTTTACGTTTCTGAGCCAAGTGCGCTACCGTTGCGCCACCGCTGCTCTGTTGTGTTTGACGGTGGGATGTTAAAAAAAGGCGTATGCATAAACAAATTAATGAAAAGACTATTATCTTTATCGCGTTTTCAAATAAAGCCTCCATCACATGCAACAACAAATACAGTTGTCAGGTTTGAAACCACATCCACGAGTAAAACAATGTTGATATCATGTTTTAAAGATCTAATAACAATATATGTTGGTGACACTGCGTCAGCAAAGTTGTCTGGGTCAAAAATACAAACAGCATAAACTCAGGGTTTGGAAGCCACTAAAAAATTATGATCTGGCAAACGTACATTATAATTAAGATTTCATAAGCTTCAAAATTGGCAATTGTTTTGTTGCAGCTGCTAATCCTCGTGGTAAATTAACTTTATTGTCTAGACTTAAATAAAAGCATGAATTTTAACTAAACATTGAACAGATTTTATCACATATATTTTGCATGCACACAAGCATCTGCCAATCACAAACTGTATTGGCAGTCTTGATTATTTTCAAAGGAACTATTTTAATGTAAAATTTTTGTTTAAGTGTGTTTGATTGCTTTGGCATCAGCCTTAAATAAATTGCAGAAGGCAATAAGCAATAGCCCAGTTATCGTTTAGCATCAAGTGTCTTACATGAACGTAACTCCTGCAATCTTCATCGATTGCCAGCAGCGGCTCCTATTGATGCAATGTTAACAATGACAGTTAGTCTATCGTTATTTTTTCTATTGAAATCAGAAAGTTTTGATTTTAAGTAGGGAAAAAATTTATTAAGTACTCGTTTCTAGCTTGTCCTGCGTTGTCTATGGCAGATTGCCTCGCGTTTCTTTTTTTTGCAAATTTGTTTTAGAATTAACTTGATTTTCCAAAATTATTAAATTTTTTTTAGTTTGTCAGTACTGTATGGTGCACTATGGGACCAACCGGTATTTTCCATCTCAAAAATCAATAACTCTGTTGTTTTGTGGTTTTTCTCTTAGAAATTTTGAAAATAAAAGAAATCAAACATCATCATTTTAAAAATAATATATTTTTTGCAAAAAAAAAAAAAAAAGATAAAATAAACTAAATTTCATATAAATAGAGTTATATTAAAATAGCAGTAAAAGTTACACTTTTGCTTAAAATAAGTTTAAAAACAAATTATTATTAGGCCGGGTGAATAAAAAGAAGCAGTTGCTTTTACTTAGCGTTTATGGAGTAATTGTTCAGTTTCACTTGAATAAAAAACTTGAGCAAAATTGCTCAAATTTTTATTCACATTAAATTAAGGAATTTACTCCAAATACGCTAAATGCTTAGCTTTACGTAAATAAAAAATTGAGCTAGCTTTTATTCACGTAAAGCCGACCATTAACTAAGTAAAAGCAACTACTTTTTTTATTCACCCGACCTAGTATTAAACAAGTAAAATTAAAAACGAATTTTTAAAACCCAAGGCTTTTATATGTTATTAAAACAAAAATTTTGCAATCAATTTTTTCTGATATTACTATTTTATTTTATTTGGCCATTGAGGTTAAATTTATTTTTCATAAAGTTTTGCTAATCGCATAAAAAAATTCTTCTTCTCCTTTCCATATAAAAAACAAACTTAATTAAACTTAATTAAATCAATTGACTTATTGCAAAACTAATTATTGAATATTGTATTGTCATCAAGCAAGAGGAAGTATGCAAAATTTTAAGAAAATAATCATCAGAAATTGACTCAAAAATTGATTACAAGGTTTGAGGTTAAGAGATAGATTAACAAACAGAGAGGAGAGGTTAAATGGCTGGGTGAATAAAAATGAGCAATTGTTTCTACTCTGTAATTAGTCAGCTTTACGTGAATAAAAACTTCAGCAGTTTAGCTTAAATTTGTATTCATGTAAAGTTAAGCAATTTACTGAATAAAAACTTAAGCAAAAAGAATGAAATTTTTTTTTCACGTAAAGCTGACCAATTACTGAGTAAAAACAGTTGCTTATTTTAATTCACCCGGCTTAATAAAAGCATTGGGAACAAAAAGTTACATAATTAAAAAAATTTAGCGCTTATCTTATTTATCACTTTCTATATCCAACAATTCTTTAGCTTTGTCAAAAATTTCTTTGGATATTAGAAAACTTGTTTTACTTAAACTAGATATATAAAGATCAAATCTATATAAAAAAATATGCAGGAAATTTGGACGTATTTTTTTTGTCTTCCTTAAGATGTTTGATTTTTGAAGTTGTTGCTGACCACTTCTCAAAACTTAAGTTTTAAGAAATATGGAGGGTCCTTTCCATTAGTCTTATCCATTTGTGTAGTGTCGTCATCCGTATTTAAATTTATTTTAATTTTTAAATTTCGTTGTAACTTGTAAAAGATCATTCATTTTTCTGGGATTTGCTCTACAAACAGTGCAGGTAGCATTGGATGAAGTGTTCGTAAACACTTGAGCAACATTCCCATTGATTATTGCCAAAAACGTTTAACTTTGATAACTTTGTCGTCTATTGACACAAGAGTTGGTATCAATTAATTAATTTTGGCTTTAATTTCACTGACAACTGCTGTAGTTTTTGGTTGTTTCTTTTGCAAGTTCTAATAAAATTGGTCTTCAAAATCTAAGAGATGAGCAAGTAGGGTTCTGCCATGCAACTGCAAAAGTTTCTTTCTCTATTAGTTGCAGTGATACAAGGTACACTATAAATAAATGAGCATCCATTATTTGTTCATTTTATTTCTGGTAAATAGTTTTTCTTTTTAATTCTGGAATCACCCCCCCCCCCCCCCATTTAGCAAACAGGTTAAGACGATTGTAATCGTCTCAACCTGTACAGATGAAACAACAGAAACTACGGAAACAGATAAAACAACAAAAGATTTTTACACTAATTTTTAAGCTCTAGTAAGTTCATGATTCGGTTTATAAGTTCTTTTCAAGATTTTTTTTTATTAAAACGAGGTAAATTCATAATGGTTGCTATCATCAAATATATGTTTGTTCAATGTGCAAATATGCCAAGTATTTTGTTTCATTCGGTGTCATTTCATTTATTGTATCATTTTATTATTCATCTTGAGTCATGTCATTTATTTTTTTAACAACCTATTTTGTATTAAATTTGCTATATTTTTTAAAACAATGAAAATCTTGTCCTTTAGACGTAGTTTGTTTGACTAATTGCATTTTAGTGATTGAATAAAGCGATTTAATGATTGAAAAAAGTTACCTAAAATGCGGGAGGAGATTAATTGCTGCTGCGGGATGATATTAATTGCTATTCAAGGTTTTAAATAAATACTTAAAGTCAACTTTAATAAAAATACTTAAAGTCAACTTTAATAAAAATATTTATAGTCAACTTTAATAAAAAAAACTTATTGGTTACCTTTAATAAAAATACTTAAAGTCAACTTTAATAAAAATACTTATAGTCAACTTTAATAAAAATACTTAAAGTCAACTTTAATTAAAAGTACTTATAGTCAACTTTAATAAAAAAAACTTTAATAAAAAAACTTATTGGTTGTTTAGTCATGTAAACTTGTAAATTGCACTTTTATAAAAATTGATTTACGAAAAATGTGTCAACTTTTTTGAATGAACAATCTTGATACAGCTGTACTTTAAAAGGTGGAGGAAGGTTATTTATCCCGTACTATTTTATTTATCACGTATTAGTTTATATCCCAGGTTCTCATATGACCCTTTATATATTAAATACACAATACTCTAAACCTCGTTAAATAATGCGTTCGAATAAAGTATTTGTTGAATAAAAAAAGTTTTATTTATTGTTTCAGATTATCTGTAAATATAAATTCTCAACTTTTGAAAACTTTCACAACTTCTCAAGAATTTTAGCTATAGGGTTAGGGATATAGAAAACACAATAAAAGTTAAAATATTAAAAAAGTTACTCATGACTAATAAAAATTACAGATAAACATGGATGAATCAATGCCTTTAAACATCAAATTTAAACATCCAATTTAAAAATCATCTAAAAAGCAGAGATAACTTCAAGGCTTGCTGTTACACTTGCATGTTTTACAACCATTTTCATCAACAACGTTTCCGTATTCACAAAATATTTGACAAATGAATTTTTTGCATTCTAAAATAATATAAGACTAATATAAAAAACATAACAAATTTTATTTATATATTTTATTTTTATTTTAAGTGCCTAAAAAGACCTAAGAGTCTTGTCACAGAGCACACCAAAAGTCAAAATTAATATACATTTTTAAATTTAAGATCATGAATAACAAATATATAAACCATACACAGACTACTAAAACATTTCATATTGCAATAAAATGAAACTTACTGTTGCATTCGCATTTTTTGCAACCATTTTCATCTCTGACGAATCCGTTTTCGCAGAACATTCTACATTGTTTTAAGTCGTCGCATTTTTCTTAAAAGTATAATTAAAGATTAAATTTTTTTCTTTAATAAAATTAAAAAATGTTTATAAAAATTAGATAAATTAAATGTTAATGTTGAAGTTTTCGGAAAAAACTTAAATTTTTAATATAAATAAAAGCTTATAGGTAAATAAACAAAAATGAATGTTATAAACACAAAAAGAAATAATAATAAAAATATAAAAAATTTGACCTACTTTTTTCTGGAGCAGCTAAAATGGAAAAAAAAAAAAAGTAATAACTTTTTTTATTCATAGCTTTTAAATTACTAAAATTTTTTATTACTAAAATAAAGTTTATAATTCTATAGAGCATTATACGATTTAAGATAAGTTATTTGGAATATTTACAACTATATTGCAAGCCACTTTATATTAGTTAAATTATGTATTAGAGTTAAGTGAAAATTTTAGTGTTGCCTTAAACTTTTATTATTTATTTTTGGCCTTACCTTTGCACTTGCATGTTTTGCAACCGTTTTCGTCGACTTCATTTCCGTGGGGACAAAATATCAAACATTGGAATTGTTTGCATTCTAAAAACAAAAGAAATAGAAAATAAAATATTTTGATCACGACTTTTATAATGTCAGGAATTTATAGACATGACGTAGCACGTCATTTCATACTTTGAGTAATAACAACAACAACGTACTACTGCATTCGCATTTTGGGCAACCGTTTTCATCCCTGACAAATCCGTTTTCGCAGTGCATTTTACATTGTTTTAAACCATCGCACTCTGAAAAACGAATTCAAAATTATTCGCGTAAATGTTTAAAGTATATATGGATATAAATTAAAAAGAAAAACTATTTATTGCAAAACATATAAAATTATCTGTAGTCCTTACTTTTTTCTGGTGCCTCTAGAGCAGATCCTAAAATTTGTACAATTACATTAATTAAAATTTTTATGCAAATGATTTTTAATCATTATTTATTAGCTTAATGAAAATATAAGAAAATTACTTTTGCAGCGGCATATCTCGCAACCGTTAGCATCTACTTGGAAACCTTCAGGACAAAGCATTTTGCACTGTCTATTGTTGCATCCTACAAGATAAATATTTTTTCAAAGCTTCAAGAACTTTAATCAATAAATTTATAAACAATAACAACAAAAACAACAACAACAACAACAACAACAACAACAACAACAACAACAACAACAACAACAACAATAACAACAACAACAATTGGATGAACAGTTTTCTTTTGATAGTAATAAATATTAAATAACATAACATTTGTTAAATAAAAATATTTAAGAGCTACTCACTCTTTTCAGGTCTTTCAGCTAAATTTAAAATGATAAAGATATTAAAAATTGTTGGTTTTACAAAAAAAAAAGGTCGATTTTTTAAAATAAAAAACGTCTAATTCATAAATTAAAAGAATAAAGTTTAAAAAAAAGTTTCTTCCTTACCGCACTTGCAGATGTCGCATCCGTTTTCATCCTGTTGAAATCCAAATTTGCAAAACATACGACATTGTTTTTTGTCGCATTCAGCATTTGCAAAGGTAACAACAGCAGATAAAGCCTAAAGTTAAAGCAAAACCGCTTGACACAATCTAATTAAAACAGCAAAGTTTTGTGACTCTGTAGGTAATACACATAATATATTCTTATATTGAACGTCATAACCAATGACTAATTAAAATAATTAATTATGATGATTATATAAAGCATTATAACCAATTATTATTTAATAATTAATTATAAACTTATAAAATTATAAAAATAAATCTAATTGTCACGACTAATAATAAAAACAAGAAATAATAGTTACCAAAACAACAATGAGATGATTCATTTTTTCTTTTGAAGTCGTTCTCGTAGCTGTAAGTATTGCAAATTGAAAACGAAAAAATAAGTATTTTGCAGCTTTTTAAGTATTTCGCTGTGTAAATATAAATAGAACACCTGCAATATATATTTCATAATGTACTAAGCTGGTCAAACAAATTAGTTTACCATTTTATTTATTTTTTAGGGCATATAATGTGTAAATTGTAAGAAACACATAAAGCATATAAATGACACCCACATTGAAATATTCTGCTCAAAAGATAATAAAAAAAACTCCGTGAAAAATGGTTTGTTTTATATGATTTGAATAAAGTTTATATACGATAAAATCATCTAAATTCGGTCACGTAAGCTTTGAACAATGTTTAAAAAACACCTTTATATTTTAGGCATAAATTAACCATTTTTTAGTTTTCTTCCTCTAGATAATACAGACAACTATATCGTTGAATTTTATTGCAAAAATAAAGTAGTAAAAATAAAAATTAGCATTCAATATTTTATTTTAAATAAGAGCAGCTAGTTTCATCGAACTTTCAATACCATCTCATAGGTTCGGGCACTGTATACATTCCAATCAACACGTCGCAATATTACACATTTAACATCCCATATTATTTGTGATACTGTAATATTACATATTACAGTATCACAAATTTATCATCCCTATAATACATCTCAATAATATATCGCAATATGACAATAGAAATTATGAATACTAATTTTCTATATTTTTTTAATGATAAAACTATGAAATAAAAGGTTAAATTCAATTTAAAAAAAAGTTTTTTTTTATGATAACAAATTTGATAAAAATATAGAATATACATATATATATATATATATATATATATATATATATATATATATATATATATATATATATATATATATATATATATATATATATATATATATATATATATATATATATATATATATATATATACATACATATATATATATATATATATATATATATATATATATATATATATATATATATATATATATATATATATATATATATATATATATATATATATATATATATATATATATATATATATATATATATATATATATATATACACTGAATTTGAAGGAAAAGAGTACTTAGTATTTGAAAATAATTTTGTTTTAATATTGGTTATTCTTGGTGACTCTTAATGTTGGTTATTCTTGGTGACTCTTAATATTGGTTATACTTGGTGACTCTTAATTTGAATTTTAAATTTTGATCATTGATCAATACTCTGCTTATTTTAAATTTCAATTGTTTGTATAGTTTTAAAACTTGTTTTGCAAACGAACTATTTCAGTAGATTTCAAATAAACATTATCATTTTTTTAAATGATTTTTAGGCACGTGCCAAAAAAAAAATATCGAAGAAAAAAAAATTTGCAAAAGTTGAAATACGTTTACTTTTTTTGTTACATATTCCTTAGTGATAGGAGTTACATGGTGACCGAACTTTGGCAATTTTACCTTATCGGAAACTAATACAAACATGTTTAAACAGCCATATTTTGTTTTTTAGCTAATATTAAAATCAGTAAATTGTTATTTTTTTTTATTATTATTTCTGATTGTTAGTTCATGGGCGAGTAAATAAATAATTAATTAATATTTAGATGTGACAATAACATCTGCGTGTTATGTTCGTCAATAACACGAGCTGAATATTTCCTTTATGCAACCGTTAGTCGTACGACTAACGTATCAAAATAAAACATCCTAAAATACAACTTCATATTATTTTTTGTTATAAAATGTTTACCATTTTGTTATTTCTCTTATTCTAGGTCGTCTTTTTTTTTTTTTTTTTTTTTTTTACACTTTTAAAGCAGCAAGAAAAACTTGCAAATTTATTTTTAAATAAAAAACTGAGAATAATCTAAAAATTTATGATTTATCAATTGATAATTACAAGATTTTGACAAATTATGTTTATTTTTTATCAATTAAAAAAACATAATTTATAAAAATTATGTTTTTTTTTTTTTAATTGATTAAAATAAACATAATTGGCTTGCAATTAGGTGTAATTTTTTGAATTCATTTAATTTATCAATACTAATAAAAATGCTTTAATTTTTAAAGGTTTTTACTTATTTTTTGTCAGTGATGTATTTTACATTTTTATGAACCTTTTCACACTTTCTTGGTGACCAATGTCTAAAATTTGAAAATTTTTAAAAGTTTTATGTGCCAACTTTATACTTCTTTCTAAAATTATTTTTACAAAAAAAATTTTCTGATGAGTGAAGAATAAAAATAGTTTAAAATTTCAGTCAAATTTTCAAACTTTTTAAATTAATTTGTGAAAAATTTAATTCTTATTAATTATTTGCAAAGAAAAAAAAAAAAAAAAAAAAAAATGCCTCGATGTTTTGTTTTTGTCGAGGAGATGTAGTTTTATAATATCTATGTGAATAAAAAAATTTAAATCATTTTGGTAAAAAAAAAAGGATGTTCTTTAGGATTAAATTTTAAATATTTTTTACAATCTACTTTTTACGTTTATGAGTCACGGTGTGTCAAATCGATGTCTCGTTGTGACGCGTGTTTTTCGAGCAAAAGTATAAATAAAAATTTTGAAAAGCTTAGTTTTCAGTTTACAGTTAGATTATCGGTGTAGTTAAGACACTTTTAAAATATTATAGCGTCTGTAAGATATTTTGTTGACTACGACATATTTCCGTTAAATGGTCAGTTTTGTAAATTATGAAAAATATTCAAATTATAAAATTTTGCAGTATCATAAAATATAAATGTTTGCAGTAAAAAAACCCAGACCGATGATTCTTTTTTTCGCTCGTCCAAATTTAAATCAGATTTTAAATTAGTATGTTTTTTAGATGAAATAAAATTACAGTTTAACAATATGATCTGCCCTGATCGTTTATTGGCAATTTTCCATAATTATAAGCTCTTTCTTGGTCGAAATTCTAGTAATTTTTGTGAAAATTGATAGAAATATTGTATTTTGACAACAATATATAGTTAATATACGTCAGAACCAATTAGAACCCCAGTTCTAATTGGTTCTGATCAATTGTAAACTAAGGAATCTTTTTTCAAAAGATTTGAACTAAACTCATGTTAATTCCGATGAGCGGAATTGATCTAGAGACTCTAAACTAGTGTTATTTAGACTTTTACGGGTAGTAAAAAGGTTTTGAAAACTATATATAAAAAAAGAAAAGTTTCTTTAAATATAAAAAAAAAGTTTTTGTTCGGACATACTACGCTAATAAAATCATGCTTATTTCAAATAAAAGTATTCGAATAATTTTTAAATTGCCTTAACTACATCGAGTACCAAAAACTTTTGTTTTTTCAATTGAAAAAGCGTTAGCGTGTAGCATAGAGTTGTTGTAAACCAAAAATTACTTAAAAACGAAAATTTCGGAAACAAAAAAACGTGTTTTTTGTGTGTACAAATTTATGAACAAGTGCTACAATATTGCAAATGTAGCTAAAGAAAAAAAGAAAAAAATGCTACGGGTATTCAAAAGTGCCATACAAAAAAAACAACAAAAAAAAAAAACAACAACAACAAAAAAAAAAAAAAGTAAGAAAAACGTGTGTATGTTTTTTCCTATTTATTTACGTCTGTAATAAAATCTACAAACAAAAATTTATCTACAAACAAAAAAACTTCTAACGAAAATAAGAGTAATATTGATCTAAATATAATTTTTTTTTATTGTATAGTTCGACTCGTCTTTTCGTAAAGTTTATTTATTGAAGAAAAAAAAGTTTAATATTCAATCTAACAAAGAAGTTATTCAATTTTTAGTTAAAAATTCCATAAAAAACGGAAACCATGGCTACAGCACTTATCTATGTAATAACTATTATTACAGAGTATAGAGATCAGCAGTATAAAGTGTATATTTAAAGCGTATTTTTAAAGTGTATATTTAAAGTCTATATATAGAGTGTATATATACACTTATACATATAAGCGTATATTGTATATACACTTTTACGGAAAAAGGTATTTAAAAAAAGGTAGTAGCGTATAAAGGTGTTAATGATATGAAGATGAATATAGGTGTTCATGTTCATATTATAGATGTTGAAGACAAAAAAATTCCAACTATTTAAGGAACGTTAAAAAGAAAAGGTGCCGACATAAAGAAGTGTCGATGTAACGAGGCTAAATTGTTTTAAAGTGTGTGATATTTACAATGGCTTTTCTTTGTGGAAAGTGTTTATTTGTAAGCAAATTCGTTGGTAGGTTGTCATCTCATTACCATCAAATCCATTATTGTCAAAAATTTGAATTTTTTATCGTTTAAATAAAATATATACAAACAGACATATGTAAAATATATACAAACAGACATATATATATATATATATATATATATATATATATATATATATATATATATATATATATATATATATATATATATATATATATATATATATATATATATATATATATATATATATATATATATATATATATATATATATATATATATATATATATATATATATATATATATATATATATATATATATATATATATATATCCATCAGCCACTGAAACAGAGATTGTATTAAAAATGCGAATGAAGATCGAAGGAAATATTGAATGAAGACCTTTCCTGTAGGTTCTGTTGAGCAACTTGATAAAAGAAAGAGATTCTATTTGTCTTTATTTTATTGCTTCAGAACATCTAGATGATGAGTTTCTTCAAGAAGGAGTAAGACATTGTTAGCACAGGAGAGCCTTGAAACAGAAAAAAGTCAAGACAATGAATTCAAATGATTGAATCCACTTTTTGAGTGCCTTAACTAAAGTTAGCCGATGATCTTCTAAATCAGGTTCTTCAAGAATTTTAGATAATGGCCGTACAGCCTCTATGCGCGCACTCAACCTTGTTTGGGACGTATGGTGAAGAGACTGCCTAGTTACCTCAGTCAAAATTTTCCAGCGCATGGGGCTACTACTAAAAAGGTTATTAAACAATTGGATGTTGCCAAAATAGTTTTTGACTACAGTAAAGGATTCTGCAGAATGAACGCCATCTAGATTGAGACTATGCGCACTGCAAGGCATGAACAAAGCTTGAGAATTTTTCTTAAGAATAATTAAATAATTTTCTACCTTCAGAAAACGCTCTTTTACTATCCATTTGTTGTAAGATCCTAAGGGGACAAAGGGAACAAAATTTTTTCCAATGAGACTTGTCCAGAGTTCCATCAACAATAATTAAAAAATAAATAGCTGTGTGCACCAATTCAATAATAGCAGCAAAAACAGTTTCACCACATCCCATAATGAACTCATTTTGAGTTTTCCAGCTCAAATAGTGCGCTTGCATTCTTGTTCCTTGTTTCTGGTATCCAGAAACTTCTTCTAGATGGAACTGAAGTGTCTTGTTGTGTTTGGCCAACAGCTCAAGGTTAGCAAAAAAATTACCATTATCATACTCGACCAGCATGTTTGATGAACATGCACAAATATGAACATAACATTGAGATAAAGATTACATCTAGATTAATATTCCAAGCAACATTAAACTTATTCAAAGCAACATTAACATAAACTGCTAACACACCTCGAAAACTAAGACTTCTTGAAGCTAAATGGAGTGTCACGTCCAGGACGCAGCGTAAATTTTCATACCACGCGTCATTTCTTATTGACTTTTCAAGTTCTGAATCAATCCCGATCTGATTTTTCAAGGCTTCAAAGGCTGATTTTCAGAAGATGTAGTGATTTCAAAACGAAGACTGAAACCCAGGGCTAAAATTATGCTTTTGTGCAAAAATAGCAAGCAAAGGGGAAGGAAAACTAACAAAAGCTTTTGCAGTTCCACTCCAGATAAGCCAGTCTCTATTAATCTTATCTCCATTGAAAGAAGTTTTGTTAAAAACGGAGGCAGGAACTTTTGTTTGCAGAATCTCAAGAAAAAAGTGCCAGATTTTGAGGTGGTCCATTTAGCATGACTAAATTGCGTTCGACTTTGGATAAAACCCTCTTCCACATCAAGCAGTTGGTGATCAAGCAGTTAGAAACAACCGTGGGGTCGTTTCTAACAGCTTGAAATTTTTCATAAAATAAGAATGCGTTTTTCATAAAATAAGAATGCGTTCCATACTCACCTAATTATCATCTTCTTCTTCAGAGACCGTTAAAAAATTTGAAGGGGAAGATGGCTTTCTTAAACTTGAGGGTTCATCAACGCTGTTTGTAGCATGGTCCGTCTAAAAAAGAATTTTTATATTATTTATATTATTTTTATTTTAAAAGTTGTTTACAGATTTGGAGGTTGTTACAGTTTTGGAATAAAATTATGAATAAAAGATTGTGAATAAAAAAATAAAGGTGTTAATTTATACCTTGACTACTTGGTCAAACATAGAGTTATTAGATGCCTTTCTTTTCTTTGAACTTTATCGAAACAACGCTTTTCTAGTGTACGTTTGTTCTTGTATTCTTTACAATTTTTTCTGCAGCTTTTTTTCTGCCTTCGGACCCTGAATCATGCTTTCAAAAACTGGTGGACCCTGAATCATGCTTTCAAAAACTGGTGGACCCTGAATCATGATTTCAAAAACTGGTGGACCCTGAATCATGCTTTCAAAAACTGGTGGACCCTGAATCATGCTTTCAAAAACTGGTAGACCCTGAATCATGCTTTCAAAAACTGGTGGACCCTGAATCATGCTTTCAAAAACTGGTGGACCCTGAATCATGCTTTCAAAAACTGGTGGACCCTGAATCATGCTTTCAAAAACTGGTGGACCCTGAATCATGCTTTCAAAAACTGGTGGACCCTGAATCATGCTTTCAAAAACTGGTGGACCCTGAATCATGCTTTCAAAAACTGGTGGACCCTGAATCATGCTTTCAAAAACTGGTGGACCCTGAATCATGCTTTCAAAAACTGGTAGACCCTGAATCATGCTTTCAAAAACTGGTGGACCCTGAATCATGCTTTCAAAAACTGGTGGACCCTGAATCATGCTTTCAAAAACTGGTGGACCCTGAATCATGCTTTCAAAAACTGGTGGACCCTGAATCATGCTTTCAAAAACTGGTGGACCCTGAATCATGCTTTCAAAAACTGGTGGACCCTGAATCATGCTTTCAAAAACTATTTTTACTCTAAGATTTGTGTTACTTATTTTCAAAAAAAAATAAAAAAGTTTTTCAATTTCTTCGAAATTGAAATGAATTTTTTATAACGAAATTTAATTCTAAAAGGAAATAAAGAGAAAAAGAATTATATGCAATTTCACAATATCAAATTAATTGGAATGAATGTATTGAGAAAGAATATTTGAAAAGTGTTGGAATGAGAGTAACTTAACTGATTTATGTAACATAACATTAATGTTTTAAAACAAGCGTTGTTATGTAATAATGTTTTAAAAGCCAAATGTTATGTAATTCGAATTTAAACTACATTTAAATTGGAGCCATTGCAATTAGTCCTTGCAAGCAGGAAAAATAGAAATTCTTACAAAGTTACCCCCTTTTTAAGGATATAATAAACGGAAAGCAACATAAGATTGAACTTCTAAATAATACAAATGGAGAGAAAGAGCTGTTTCTAATGAGATATCGGATGTCAGCATAATTTTAAGTAAATGAAAAAATAACTTTACTTAATATATTATTTTTTTGATGAAATTAAATTATATTTAAAAATAAGTTGTAGGCACCCTATTAATAGATTTGACAAAAGCATTTGATAGTATTCCACATTAAAATTTACTAAACGAGCCTGATAACTTACACATTAAAACTAGAGGTCACTATAGATCAACATCTCCAATTTATAGAACAAATTTATCCGACCATAAAAAATGCCACTCTAGTATGGAAATATTAGCAAAAGCATCTGCCAGGCTTCCGAGTGAACTTTTAAATATAGCGTATAAAGGACTTACACAGAGTCAGTTAGAATATGTCAGCATATTATACCTTGGTCAATCCGAAACGCAACTAAAGAGGCTTAACGTAATACAAAAAAATTGTGCCCGAATTATCTTTCATAAACCTAGGAACACTCATTCAGCTTCCCTTTTGAACGAAATTAAGCTGTTCACCTAAGGGGATAGAAGAAATATTCATGCGATATAAACAGTCAAGTCGGCGTTTTCGGGAGTAAGCCACCCATTGATGGCTAACATGTTTAAAATGAACTTAAACCTTATTGTTAACAGTAGTAGGCTTCAATTTTAAGTAATGGCTTCAATTTTAGAGGAGCCAACATTATAAAAAAAGTCGGCTCCTAATATATCCATAGTGTTATGTCATTGGCATATACTACTCAAGCATTGGAAGAGAAACTGAAAATAAAAAACACTATTATATATATATATATATATATATATATATATATATATATATATTATATATATATATATATATATATATATATATATATATATATATATATATATATATATATTATATATTATATATATATATACATATATATACATATATATATATATATATATATATATATATATATATAATATATATATATATATAATATATATATATATATATATTTTATATATATATATATATATATATATATATATATATATATATATATATATATATATATATATATATATATATATATCATAAAAATATATATATATATATATATATATAATATATATTATATATATATATATTATATATATATATATATATATATATTATATATATATATATATATATATATATATATATATATTATATATATATATATATATATATATATATACATATATATATATATATATACATATATATATGTATATATATATATATATATATATATATTATATATATATAAATATATATATTATATATATATATATATAAATATATATATATATATATTATACGTATATAAATATATATATATATATATATATATATATATATATGTATATATATATATATATACATGTATATATATATATATATAATATATATTTATATATATATATATATATATATATATATATATATATATATATATATATATATATATATATATATATATATATATATATATATATATATATATATATATATATATATATATATATATATATATATATATATATATATATATATATATATATATATATATATATATATAATAAAGTAATTCTAGTTATAAAGTTGTTCAACTGTTATTGAGTTTAAACAATAATAAATAACAATAATAATAACACGCCACACGCACAATTACTTAAGGTGTCAAATTATTTACTACAATCTGTTCCTCAACTTAAAAATTCGCGCATGCTCAGAAGGATTATTTAGTCGGTGCATTGATTTAAAATAAAATCTTTTTTGGTCTTGAAACACTATGGCCTATTTGCTATCAAAATATAAAACATAAGCAAACTTTTTGATAAGTTTAAAAAATTTTTTTTTTTACCGAGATTGTTTAAATAACACACTGTGAAGCGTCTGTTGCTTAATTTTTTTTCCTTTAAATGCATTTAATTGCACTCGATCAAAAATGACTATGTGCTAGAGATGAAAAATCATATAGCATTGCGCTACTGAAGAGCATTTAGTCTGGAAGTTCACGCCTCTTTCCAAATAAAGTATCGCTTATTTGGCTAGAGCAGGCATTGAACCTGATGTTTTTTTTTGCGCCATAGTTGCTTACAGGCTTAGTTAAATTATATCATATATGCATATACTTAGAATAAAATATTTTAAATCAAAGTGCTTGAGAGTATCTAAGTATTGAGACCCTTTAAAATTAAAGTATTAAGACCTTTTATGTTTTACCTGAAAGTATCAAAATATTTCTTTAACAATTTTCCATTTCCTAAAAATATTTTGAAAATAATTTACATTAAAACGGAATGTGATATCAGATTTGGAAAGAACTTAGGCATGTTTTGAATTAGTTTTATTCGTTTTTATTTGTTGTGACAAAAAATTGAGAAGGGTAACTGAGAAGGGTATTTATGAGAAATTTTACAAAAGTAAGAATGAAATATTCTAGTAAAAATCTTTTGCTTGGCTTTAAATATGAAAAGTAAAGTTTGTTGTATATTAAATTTATAAACAATTAAATCTTTAAGTTCATTTAAAAACATCTGTGTGCATCAGTCACCTGCCCGCATGTTTTTGCTTACTATATATTTTTTCAAGTTTTTCACATATTTCCATGCATAATATTAGAGAAAAATAAAACTATGAAAAGCGAAAAGTATAAAAGTATATTTGTTGTGACTGCGTCTTGTTTAATATTAAAAATTTAAAAAATAATAATATTAATACAAAATAATAATATAGAAATATTTTTATTTAAGACGTTGTTGAATGCATCTAATATATGATTAAGGTTACTTACTTAGCTAGATTACTGCCAAATTGTTTATTGTACAACATATTGTCTAGCATCAAGCAATTATAAAGTCTGTTAAACATATAACTTCCAGTAATTTTGTAAAGTAAGGTCAGACGTAGGGCTTCCAGTTTGATCACGTTCATGTTGAAGCGAAATGTTGCCAGTTTGAACACGTTCATGTTTAAACGAAATGTTGCCATTTTTAAAGAGGTTCAAGTACGAACTTTTTTTCTCTAAAATTTTGAACATGCAGTGCCGCCGAGAGTGGGGTCGCGAGGGACAGTTTGTCCTGGGCGGCAGATATCCAAGGGGCGCCAAATGAAATGTAGGTACCTAAAAAGTAAAAAGGTCCTTTATATATAATATAGGGAAAATTTGATAAATAAGGCGCCAATCAGGATTGTTTTCCCAGACGGCACGACAGCTCTCGGCGGCCTTGGTTCCGAGCGTTACTTATTTTTAATTGTTAAAGAAATCCCTTGATCATACCTATAAAAATAAATAAATTAAATAAAAAAAATTTCTGAATTTTTAAAAAAAACAACGATTTAATGTAGCTTTGACAAGCTAATAAATATTTTAGTTGTTAAAACAAAAAATATGGATAAGTTTAAAGATGTAACCACATATTCTGAAAAATCTGAGGCATGGGGCTATTTTGAATTTCCTGAAGAATTACAGATTTCAAAGTGTAAATTCTGTAAAATTATTCTCAAAACACCTGACTCTACAATAAAAGCTATTTCAAGACACTTAAAAACAAAACACAAAATTGAAATTCTTAAATGCATTAACTCTGCGCCAGAGGCAGCAGCAAACATTTCTGCTCTCAAAATATCCCAAATTGAAAGTTTTTTCTAGGATGGCCATAAAACTCTGCCTGACCAAGGATGACCATAAAACTCTGCCTGAAATTTTGAGTCAACTATCAGCTATTGATGGAATCAGTTTTCATGTCATTACCAAAAGTGAAACTTTGCAATCAGCATTTTGTGCCTAGGGATACAAAAAAAGAAAAACAGAAGATAAATGAACTTAAATTAAAATATCATAAGGATTTAAAATGCTTGGAATGTTAAGAATCCAAAGTACAATGCAACATAATGCAACATAAGCCATTAAATTACTGAGCCATAGGCTTAATTCATTTGCTTTAAATTTGGAAAAAGACATTGTAGCTTGTGTTACTGATGGAGTTGAAAAAAGTTGGTCTTGATTTTAAAGTTAAGCATTAAGTGTAAACAGAAGTAAAAATAGCTCTGACTGATATGAATATTGATTTTCATTTTACTAAAAATGAGCTTAATGTCATAAATGATCTTTGTGTTGATTTAAAACCACTAAATTGACCATTGATACTCTTTCAAATTTATTAACCATCTTTCAACTCATTAATATCATTTTAAAAAGAAATGCTGATCTTTTGTATTCTGAAATTTTGATCTTTTGTATTCTGATTTTTTGTATTCTGAAAGTCAAGACATAAAAGTCAGGCACGTGGTGATAATATAACACGTTGTTAACGCTCACCTTAAATAAAGATGACCGATTTGGCACACAAAAAAAAGACAATTCCTAATCTTTTTAATCTCATTCAGCAAATATTTCTGTCATCTGATCTCTGATGATAACAAGGAAGTAAATACTGATAGTATAACTAATAACGTAAAAAGCATCAAAAATAAATTGAATTGAGCTGAACAACTCAAACTTCTTATTAAACAATTAGACACTGAAATGAAACTTAACCATCAGGAAATTAGAATAAACCTTGTTCAAAAGGAAATGGCTGTTTTTGAATCTAGAAAAGTTACTTTCCGAAGCTCTTTAAACAATTCCTCCTATATCAGCAGAAGCTGAGAGAGTTTTTTCTAGTCTTTGACTTTTTGCTACTATAATAAGAAGCTCTTTAAATAAGAAAACTTTAGAAGCACTAACTTCTTTAAATGAGAAAACTTTAGAAGCACTAACTTCTTTAAAGCAAACTATGAAGAGTACTCATTGGTATTACTTTTGTCCTAATTAATGATGATAAACAAATAAATATTTTTACACACACTTTGTATTACTTTTGTGTGTTTTAACATAACTAAAATAAAGTTCGAAAGAGTTCGAATTTTTTTCAGTTGCAGTTCGAACATGTTCAGGTTCGAACTTTTCAAAAAAAAAGTTCTAACTGAAAGCCCTAGTCAGACGGGAGCGACTCTGCAATTTGAAACAGTTTTGTTACTAGATTTAAAAATTGGAATGATTATAAATTTGAAGTATTACCAATTACTTTCGGAGCGATACATTCGGATTAGTTTTGAAACTTTTAGAGTATTAAGCGAATTGTCTGATGAATCTTATAACGCTTATTATAAAATTACAAATCAAAGACACAATCATCTATAGGTTTTTCTAAAAAATTTGTATTTTTTGCTCTAGAAGTAAAGTGCTCTTTGAGATTTGAGACTATATTATTTTTAACAAAAATGTCATTAATAAATGAGTCCGTTTCAGACTCAACAGTTTTGTTCAAAGATAATATCTTTTTTTTTTAATTCCAGCAAAATTTTGGGTGCTTAACTTAATACAAATCTCAAAATGTTAAACAGATCGAACGTCTTTTATACTTAATGGCAACAACAACCACAACCCTTCATCAGCGTGGAAAACCACTAAGTTATTATTTTTAAGTTTTGAAGGTTGTAATCACAAATATTCCAAAATTTGTTCGCCAATAATTGACTATTGTCGACAAAATTGTGTTCCAAAACGGACAAACCTTAGTTTGTTCCGTTAGGCTACTTCCATTAAGGAAATAATCTATTGCATTCACCTGTAAACTATTTCAATTTTCAAAATTCTTTCTGTTATAGAGATAAGAAAAAAAACAGAGAAGAATACTTCTAACACCATAATGTTGCAGTTTTTGATGAAGGGTATGTGTTAAACTACATTAAATACTTTTCTTATATCAGGGGGTGGATTTATAATCTTTCTTAAGTTTGATGCGGGTCCATAATCGTTTTTAAGTCTGAGGCGGATCTAAAACCTTTCTTAAGTAAAGCTAACAACTCTTTTTAACTTAAGCAAATTTTTATCTGAATTCCAATATTAAAAATAAAATATAAGTTCTCTGGCACTTCTTAATCAGCACTCAAGTAGGGCTTTAATGACGCGCTAAACTACTTTAGTTGTAGACTGATAAGTTCCCAAATAATTACTGGAAAGTACAAACATCTCTTCCAACATATGACAAATGAAGCCAGAAAGTTAAAAAGGTTTTTTTTGACTGTATAGAAAGATTTTTAGTGGAATTTTAGTTCTGATAACGTTAAATTCAACATGAAAGTTTTATCTTTTGCGCAATAAAATTATTTCTTTTCATTTTTATAATTACGTTAACAGTTTAATATAAGATTTTACTATGTGATCATTAATATAATAAAAGTATACTTATCAGAGATAAGTACAAGCTATGTCTTAACATTTCCGGACCACGAGCAAAGGAGAAAATATTTAGATTAGATCATAAACTGATTTATTAGATCATCAACTTTTTTCATTTATAACTTTAAAAGTTTCTGAGATTAAAAAGTGAAATATTTTTATTTTCTTATTTTTGTTAAATACTTAAATGATATTACTTGCAATAAAATAAATATTTTTGTCAAAATATTTATGTAACTTTAAATTTTAGCAATATTTGAATTTAACGAATATATCGGTATCTTTGATTTTAATCAAATTATAAAGACCGTTTAAAGGAGTTGAAATAACGAATTTTTTTTGCTTATACAAAAACACATAAATTAAAACACATTTTTAAACAATTAAAAAATAATAACAATAATGCTTTATTCCTTTTTTTGTACAGCTTTTTTAAAAAGCTGTAAAGCTTGTAAAATTTAAAATAACAACTTAATAAGTTAACGCGTTTTAAATAAAACGTATTTCGCGAGGTTTAAACGTGATATTAAATGTATATTTGAATTAATCGAAATAAATAAACAACAAAAAGTTCATTAAATAAATAAAAATTTATCTAAATAAATACATCTTTTTTAGAAACGTGCAAAAACGTGTAGTAATAACAAGTAAACAAGTATTAACATGTAATATCTACAACTAGTGATTCCGTTGCTAAACTGAGCCAACGACGGCTCCAAATAACCACCTTACAAATTTTTGATTTAGAATACTTGAGTGCAGGGCAAAGTTTTGTTGTCATTAATATGTTGTTATTCATGCTTTTACACACCGATTCGACAATTTTAACATTAACTACGTAGCGGATACCGGCGACAACTTGCGAAGTTGCGTCGATAATCTTTTCTATTACTTGCCTGAAAAAGAAATTAAAAAAAGTAGATAATTTTGTTTAAGAAAAAAAGTATTAATTTTATCTTAATAGCTTTATTAAATATTTGTATAACATTTAAGCAATACAAACACACTTATGTTTTTCGTTGCCGTTGTTTAGCTTTGTAACAGCCATTTTTAAACCTTTAGCAAAGTCGCCATTTTCCGATAAAAGCTCCGTAACTTTAGTTTGTGATAGATTGACGATGCCTCCTAATTGTGCGTTTGCTAAAGATAATCCAAGTAGAGCAACAAAGGCTAGAGCTAAACTCATTCTGACTGTCTTTACTGTTAGGTATTGACAAAGTCTATACTAGTAGGTATGACTTTACTAGTAGGTATGACTTTACTAGTAGGTATTGACTAAGATCAAATTTTTATAGCATCAGCGCAGTGACGCAACAATTAAGTGTTTTTACTTCCTGCCGAGTAACAATTAACCCTTTTACTTCCATCCAAGAAACGATTAAATCATCTAGTCAATATACGTTGACGTCAATTGACAGGTTTCTTGTAGTTATTATATTAAGTTTTGTATTTTATTTCTTATTATTTTGCCATTTATTTTATTTTATAAAATTTCTAATCTAATGTTTCAACAAAAACCATTTTAAGAAAAACTTTAAAATAAGTGTATAAAAAAAAAAAGATTAACAAAAGATTAAAAAATGAATTTTTTAAAACACGTGTCTAAAAACAAAAAGATAAAAAAAAAGATTTTATTAGGGAAAACTCATTTAAAACTCAATTAAAATTTACTTATGTAATTTTTACACATAAATAATACAAAAATCATTTAATTCATATTGATGAATGGTTTTAATATAAAATCAATTCGTCTATCCGAACAAAATTAAAGTATTATATAATAAATAATATACAATATCTGATACTTGTATCCGTAGGCGGTTAAGAAGGTTAAGAAAGGTCAGGTCAGGTTAAGAAAGCTTAGAAGTTAAGAAGGGTTGCACCATGTTATGTGGAACTAAAGAATAATTTTTTTTTTTTGAACTTCTTATACTTATTAATTTACTAATATAAAAATCAATTAAATAAAGTATAAAACAAAATTTTTTTGGTATTGTAAATACTGACTACAAATATCACAAATAAAATAATACTATAAAAGTGAATCAAACACGTGAATCAAATAATTAATAAAAAGTTTTATGTAAAAAAAAAATTCTTTTTCTTTAAATTGTTTAGTATATTTCATTTAATGAATAACCACGTGACCACGTCACTATTTTTTTCTAAAACCTAATTGATTTAAAAATTGATATTTAGGTATTTACTATTTCATGCATTCCTATATTTACATTTTTATGCTTTCATATATTGATTTATATAAAAAATATATATTTTTGCCTTAAGTGTGTGAGAAAAGTTGTGAAACAAAATCTAAACTTATGACTTTAAAAACAATAATACTATAAAAAATCCTCTTTGCAAAAAGTTGAGCAGATATTAGTAGTTTTTTAATCTAAAACATGTGTTTAACTGCTGGTTTAAACAAATAGGTAGTTACCTGCTGCGTACTGTTATCATAAGAGAAATACACCTTTTTGAAATAAATTTTAAATGACATCTTTGAAGAGTTTATTTTTGTTGTCAAACTAGTTTGATGACATAAATAAATAAAAACCGTTTTTATTTATTGTTAAATTATGAGTAAAGCAATTTTCCTTTGATTTCAAAATTGTGACTTATGTAACTTATGTAATATATGTGACTTAAGATATTTAATTTGCTAAAGTTCAGACAGTATTTTTTTGCAAAACGTTTATTCATTAATTAATTAAAAGAAGAAATAAACACTGTCATTACTATTTCATTATTTCGTGTATTTCATTTTAACCCTATATAGAGCTAAACAGGGTAAAATGATTTTTACGAGAGAAAAATTGTAGCAATTTCGCTCAAATTTTTATTCCCGTAAAGCTGAGCAATTTACTCAAAAAACGCTAAGTACTGAGCTTGGTCTTACGAAGAGTTGCTCAGTTTTACGTGAATAAAAATTTAAACAAAATTGCTCAAATTTTTATTTTCGTAAAGTTTTTATAATCGTAAAGCCTATTCTCCTTAAATGCTAAGTAAAAGCAATTTTTTAATTCACTCGGCGTAATATTTCAAAACTAAATAACCGTTTAAAAATATAATACAAATATAATCATTTAAATATAAAATACCGTTTAACAATACAGCAAAAATATGTTTAAATATTTTAAATTACATTTAGGAAACACTTACAAAAAAGGATCGAGATCAAAAGAACTCAAATATATTGTCTATTGAGAAAATAACTTTTTTTTGAAAAATGGAAAATTCCAATTTTGGGAACTCTACGGGCATTTGTTTTTAAATGTTACGTTCTAAATATTTTTTAAACGTTTTTTTGAACGTCTTCTTCACTTTAGAGTTTAGAAAACGTTTAAAAGACGTTAAAAAGATATTTAAAACGTAAGTTATAAAAATAGATACCCGTAGAGGAAAATTAAAATTTTTTAAAACTATTTGGCTCCAAAGAAATGATCTACAGTATGCTATAAGAGACCTGTATACGAAAAAACTTGTATACGAATAGTGTTGATGAATAACCTATTTCTTATATCATATTTGTTTTTGGACTTCATTGCATATAAATTTTGAAAAGATATCGGGGCTAAGTTTGTCGTACATATAAACATAAATAAAGAACATTAAAAACACCATTGATTATATAAAGAATATTTGTTTCAAATAAATAAGACGCGAGTATAATTACACGTTCTTGCTTGTGTAGATGTAGATGCTGTTGCCGTTAAAGAGGACTTAATTGACATTTTTTTAGCATGTGTATATATGTAAATACAAATGTGAACACTTTTATACTAGTTCGAATAATTTTGAATACTTTTTATAGGGGAGACCGGGGCAAGATGACGAGTAGGGCAAGATGAAAAATATTTTCAATCTTCAGTTTTTCACTAAATGGCAGCGCTAATTGGAACTACTAACTCTTTTATAGGCTGTTTGTTAAAATATATTGTAAAGGCGCTGAAATCGCGATTTTTGTATTAGTTGTGAATCTTTGATTGTTTACTTCTGACACGTTATAACTTTTATGCATGCGTAAATAAACTCTGCTGCCAAAACAGGTTAAATATTTTGTCTATCGTTCATGTTTTGAACTTAACTAATTCTAATACTACCTATTACCATAAATAAATCTCAATTAATTGGCTTCCTTCATGGCAATAAAAACGAATATTCGAAAACAGCCAGTTCGGGGCAAGAGGCAAGATGACAAGCTTGTGTTTAGCAAAATGACTTTGCTGCTGCAAAAACTACCGACCATGATGTTGTTGGTGATGAAACTGAGAATAATAGTGCTAATTTTCAGACCTTTACAGTAAAAAAAAAAATTATAAACCCTCCAGAAGAACCAAAACTTATTGCAAATGCTGAATCCGATGCGCCAAAAAAGCCTGTCAGTATTTTTGAATTAAAATCATTGCCTAAAGCAAAACAGCAAAACTTATCATTTGTTAAAAAATGTAACATAATAGAAAAAAAAAATGTGTTCAACTTTTTTTTTAGTGTTGCCATCTTGCCCGATGGTTAAAATCACCTTGCCCCGGTACTGGGGCAAGATGAAAGTTTGATATGGCTGTGGAAAAATGAAAATATCCTTTATTTCTTTAATTTAAATTAAATCATAATATATTTAATGCCACAAATGGTTAAATCTACAGTTCATGTAAAATACATGTAATCTACAGTTCATGTAAAATTAATTATACTATCCTTAAAAATAAAATAATAAACAACTTAAAATGTTAACGTAGTCATCTTGCCCCGGTCTCCCCTACAAAAAAAATATAAATATAAATAAGCATAAATACATATAAAAATATAAAATGCGTATTCAAGGTACTAATATAATATAATGTAAATGTACAATATAACACTGTTATATAATATGAGTAAATAATATTCCAAAATTCGTGATACAAATAAAGTATAAAATCAGGGATGTTCTTTAAGGACTAAATGGCCCTGTCACCATAAACCACTAAAAATATAAATTCAAAATACATTATTGAGTCAAGTAAAAAACATCGAAAAAATAACTAATAAATCTAAACAAATTGCAGCATTTTTATGGATGTTGATAACAATAAAAAAAAAATATTATAAATAAATAAATAAAAATACTTTAATGTTAAAAGTATACAATTAATAATACGTTGCCGTTAATAAGGCAATTAAAATTAAATGCTCCATACTCCCCAAAAACGGATTCACAATTTTTAGGTATTTGACTTTATTTTTAGGTCAGTTCTAAATATAAAACTTTTTTTCATACTTAAACCATATAAGAATATTTTGCCAAAATTTTTGCGCTAATTAGAGCTTGGGATCAAGAATACCCTGATAATTAATCATCACCCCAAAATCGTAGAAGAAATCGTTTTTCAAAGTATTAGTTATAATTTTTTAAAGCTTAAATTTTAATCAAGTTTTAAAACTTGATTTAAAAGCTTTATTACGAATAAAAAGCATTATTATTAAACTATTCACGCTCACGGAAAGTATGGAGCTTTCCTTCAGACTGGTGTGTAGCTGTAACTCCTATACACAAGTGTGGAGTTATTTTGCACACTTTTGTGAAAATTAACTTTTTCTAACTTGACTTCTGCACAGAAATGTGTAGTTATTTCCACAAAAGTGTGCAAAATAACTCCACACTTGTGTCTAGGAGTTACAGCTACACACCGGTGTGGAAGAAAACTCAATACTTTGCGCGAGTGTGTACCCGCGTAAATTTTACACCCTTTATTACTTTAAGCATATTTAAAACTTTATAAGGTTTTAACTTTTGAACGCTGAATGGTTTTTATATAAAAATTAAATGTGTTCATAAGTTGCAGACTTCGAGTAAATGATTATTTTTTTCAAAGACTTGGAGAAAATGATTTTTTTCAGACTTGGAGGAAATGATTTTTTTTCAAAGCTCTAATCAATGCTAGTTTGACCAAAGCATTCTTACATGGCATAAGTATGAACATAAAAAAGTTTGAAATTTAGAACTTTCCTTAAAAATTCCAAAAAACTCAAACACAAAAAAAGCCTGGATCCGCCCTGCTCTCAAATGAAATATCAACAAACACGTGTATTTTCGCAGTTATGGGATAAAAAAAAGCTTTGTACAACTGTTTAAAAGATATAATTTTTTAAATTTATTGGAATTTTTGGTTTTTCAAATAATAAATGAGGAATAAAAAAAAAACAGCTAGTATATAAGTAATATTTAGTTTCAAAACTTTTTGTTTTAATACTTATATGACTAACGGTTTTATAAAGAAGATGTTTAAACAATAACATACGCGTGTTATTGGTCAAAAATTCATGTTATTAACCAATAGCATGAGTAACTTATTAAAAAAATCTAAATATTATTATACAAATTTATAAACATATTTACTTTTTCATAAGAGGAAAAAAAAAAAAAAAAACAACAATTAAAAGTTAACAGTTTTTTGTTAATTAAAAAATAAAGCATAGATGTTTAAGCTTATCAAACATTACACATAACTGTTTGTAATAATGTGAGGTTTATGGAAATAACTTAAAACGAGTATTTTACGGTTTCAGTAACATTTTCTCACTTTTCTTTGTATTATCTCTTGAAAAGCATAAAGTGCTACATATAAGATAGTAAACTTATAGTGGGGGTCAATTTTATACTTAATGCATTTTTTGCATTTCACACTATTTTAAACGCTTTGTTTGATCAGCTTAGTATATTATGAAATATATACAGCAGGTGTTGTATTTATATTTACGCATCAAAAAATCTATAAAAGCTGTCAAAAACTTACCTTTATATTTTCAATATTCAATTCTTCAAAGGGCAAAAAAGAATTCAAGAAAATGAACTATCTTTTTGTTGTTTTGGTAATTATTTTTCCTGTCACTATTTTTTGCCTAATATTGCCTAACCAATTACCATAGTTACCATGCTACAAATTATAATTTTATTACATTATTATAAACCTTATTTTTTTCACAAAACTGACGGAACTTTATTTTTTTAATTATTAATACTGTCTTAACTACATTGTGTCATATGATTAAATTATATTTTAACTTAAGGCTTTATCTGCTGCCGTTACCTTTGCAAATGCTGAATGCAACAAAATACAATGTCGCATGTTTTGCAAATTTGGATTTCAACAGGATGAAAATGGTTGCGACATCTGCAAGTGCGGTAAGAATTTTTTTTTTTTTAATTTAATAAAATTTACCATTCTTTTTTTTTTAAATCAGCAATTTTTAAAATCTTAAATATTTTTTATTTAGCTGAAAGACCTGAAAAAAGTGAGTAGCCCTTAAATATTTTTATTTGATAAATTTTATGTTATTTTGTTTAACATACATAAATTTATATATATATATATATATATATATATATATATATATATATATATATATATATATATATATATATATATATATATATATATATATACAGGTAATTAAGTTTTTATAATAATTTTATGTTTTGTTGTCGTTGGTGTTGCTGTTAGTGTTGTTGTTAATGTTGTGGTTGTTGTTGTTTTTGTTGTTGTTGTTATTAATGTTGTTGTTGTTGTTGTAGCTGTTGGTGTTGTTGTTAATGTTGTGGTGGTTGTTGTATTTTTGTTGATGTTGTTATTACTGTTGTTGTTGTCGTTGTTGCTGCTGTTTAGTCATTTTTAAATCTTTTTTCTAAACTTTTTTTGTAAACAAATTTAGTTTATTTTTAACAATTTATAAATATTGATAAAAAAAATAGTACAATTTAAAACAGTAATAAAATCATATGAATAATAATAAAGTTGTTGAAGCTTTGAAAAAATTTTTATTTTGTAGAATGCAGCAATAGATATTGCAAAATGCTTTGTCCTGAAGGTTTTCAAGTAGATGCTAACGGTTGCCAGATATGCCGCTGCAAAAGTAATTTTCTCATATATTTATTTAACTAATAAATACTAATTTAAAAATCAATTGCATGAAACTTTTAACTAATTAAATCGTACAAATTTTAGGATCTGCTCTAGAGGCACCAGAAAAAAGTAAGGACTAGATATAACTTTTTAATGTTTTGCAATAAATAGTTTTTCTTTTAAACTTTATATAAAGTATATATTTTAAACATTTAAACACAAATAATTTTGAATTCATTTTTCAGAGTGCGATGGTTTAAAACAGTGTAAAATGCACTGCGAAAATGGATTTGTCAGAGATGAAAACGGTTGCCCAAAATGCGAATGCAGTAGTACGTTGTTGTTGTTGTTACTCAAAATATGAAATTACGTGCTACGTCACGTATATATATGTTCCTGACCTTATAAAAGTTGAGATAAATTTTTTTTTATTTCTTTTGTTTTTAGAATGCAAACAATTCCAATGTTTGATATTTTGTCCCCACGGAAATGAAGTCGACGAAAACGGTTGCAAAACATGCAAGTGCAAAGGTAAGGCCAAAAATAAAAAAGGTTACCTCATCATTAAAACCTTTAGTTAATTTATAAATTCTTTTATTAATTTTTTGAGGCTTGGGTTAAGTATAGTAGTAAATATTGCAAATATTTTTATTTTGAAACTTAAAAATTTGGAATATTTTTATTATTTTTTTTCTTTACCTTCATTTAGCTGCTCCAGAAAAAAGTATGTCAAATATTTTTTTATCTTTTCTGTGTTTTCAGTTATTTTTCAGTTTTGTTTGTTTAATTACTTAAAAACTTTTATTTATAATAAAAAATTTTAGTTATTAAGATTTTTTTAAAAATTTCAAAAATTTTTCAACTTCATTAATTTTATGAACATTTTTTAAACTTATTTCTAAAAAAAGAATTAAATATTTAATTACACTTTTAAGAAAAATGCGACGACTTAAAACAATGTAGAATGTTCTGCGAAAACGGATTCGTCAGAGATGAAAATGGTTGCAAGAAATGCGAGTGCAACAGTAAGTTTAGTTTAATTGCAATATGAAATGTTTCAGTAGTCTTTGTATGGTTTATATATTTGTTAATCGTGATCTTAAATTTAAAAAATATATAAATTTTACTCTTTCGGTGTGCTCTGTGACAAGGCACTTCTTGGGCACTTAAAATAAAAATAAAATAAGTAAATAAATTTTTTATTTTTTTCATATTAGTCTTTTATTATTTTAGAATGCAAAAATTTCATTTGTCAAATTTTTTGCGAATACGGAAACGTTGTTGATGAAAATGGCTGTAAAACATGCAAGTGTAATAGCAAGCCTTAAAGTTATCTTTGCATTGTAGATGATTTTTAAATTTGATATTTAAAGATGTTTATCTGTATTTTGTATTAGTCATGAGTAACTTTTTAAATCTTTTATTAATATATTATATTTTTTTATATTCTTAACCCTATAGCCAAAATTCTTGAGAAGTTGTGAAAGTTTTCATAAGTTGAGAATTTATATTTACAGATAATTTAAAACTATAAATTAAAAATAATTTTTATTCAATAAATACCTTTTTATTGAATAAATTTTTTTTTTAAACCTAGATTATTGAATAAATAATTTTTATTTAATAGTCTACATGAAATATATAAATGGTCATATGAGAAACTGCGATGTAAATTATTAAGTTATAAATAATTATCTTTTTTCAACATTATAACGTTATAATGTTGCTCATTTTAAAAAGGTATTATAGTTGACACATTAATCTTAAAAAAAATTTTTTTTTTATTAATTTATTTATTTTAACATTGAACAACATTTAAACTAAACCCGCATTTTTAGGTAACTTTTTTTGATCAACAAAAAGTTCATTCGTCAGATAACTACCTCTAAAGGGCAAAATTTTAAGAGTTTTAAAAAGTATAGCAAAGCTAGCACAAAACAGGCTGTTAAAAATAAATGAAATGACACATTGAATGGGATCAAATATGTGGTATATTTGTATGTTTGTAAATATGTGGTACTAATGAAACTTAATTAATTAATAACTAATAATAGCAACCATATCTTATCGTCAGAGCCTAATAAACAACTAAAATAAAGACAAATACCATATATTAAAATAATAATGTTCTAAAACCCTAGTTGTGTAACAGTTTTCATAATATTAGAAGTTAAAATTAATTATCTGAGTATATTATTAAGTAAAAGATTATCTTTTTTAGGTTAAGTTTGAAAAGAAAGTTTGTAGATCAAATTCCGCAAAACGTATTTTCCATTGCTGGGGTACACAATAAGCATATGTTTCTTAAATCGTATATATTGTTAGGTTTCAGTTTGAAATTAAATTTTTCCAGTTTAACTCGTTATAATAAAAAACTCTTAACAAACAAATTTATAAATTTAGTCATGAAATTGCTATTGTTGTTTCATTGACAGAGGGTTGATGAAACAACAGTAGTAGTTTCATAAAAACAACAGAAGGATGCATCCTTCTGTTGTTTTTATGAGCTATTTGTTAGTGTTTATTAAAAGTAATGAGGCAAAAGCTTGGACTATTAAATTATGTACTGAATACTATTTGTCCTTTGAGTTCAAGTCTTTAACCATTAAAAAAAAAAAAAAAAATTCTTATTCGTTTAGTTTTTTTCCTCGAATATTAGTTCTTTGGAATTCGCTTCCTTCATCATGTTTTTCTGATTTATATAATTTGCAAATTTTTAGGTCATCCGTTTGTTATATTGCTTTATAAACTTTTTTTTCTTCCAGTAACTTTTAATTCTAATAGTGGTTGCTTGTAGCCTTGTTAGAAGTAAAGATGTTTAAAAAAAAAGTAAATAGGAGTTGTCAATAAAGTACGTGCGCTTTTTTTTTCATTAACCCCCTCCCTCCCTCGCATTTTGCAATACGCTTTTTTTAGTACCCTTCACCTCCCTTAAAGTACCTAAGCTTTTAAACTATTTAATTACCATTTTACGATTTTTTTTTTAAATCAGTGCCTCCTTCCTTTTATAATTAACCCATTGCCCTCCCATATATGCCATTCGCAGACCCCTCTTCCCCTCTAAGCGTACCTACTTTATGGACGATCCCATATAAGAATTAGTTCTTGTCGAATTTAATATTGGAAACCTTTTATATGGAAAAAATTTATTAAAAAGTTTAATAAAGTTCAACGCAACTTACCAGAGAAATTTAAAATAGAATTAAAATAATCAGATTCTGAAAGAATCATACTTCAACTATATTTTAATACAATAGACTTTAAATATATCTTTTATATATGATTTGAAAATAGAAAAAACATTTTTATTTTCACTAAATATGTTTTATTAAACATTTATCAAATATATTTCTAAATTTTTATGAGTATATACATTTTTTTATTATTTTAAATCAGTGCGAAAGACATTTTAGTATTTGACCAAGGTTATATATATATTTATTTTTAAACGTTTTGTGTATATTTTATTTTTTTACTTATAAACACGGATAATATGTAAACGGGGCTTAATTATAAGACGGTCGATGTTTTTTTCTCGCTCTGGCATATTTTTGTATATGTAACATGAGTTTATTGTAAATATATGGAGAAAAAAAAAACTTCCATGAAATAATGTTTACGCAATCATTGCATTATTTTAGCTTTCTCTACTTGAACTATGTTACTGGACAATCATTCCGAATAATAGTAAGCGATTGCGGAATAAGTAATTTTCTTTGGAGAATTACACGGAAACTGATCGCTAAAGTATTCCCAATGAAACTAATTCCACACGAGGAAAAGCAGAGTCGCCAGATAGGTCACTTCGTCGTTAAATCCGTAAATCTGGCCTCCTCAAAGATTAATCGGCTAATCAGCAATTTAGCTTTGCTTGGCTTTTTTATTCCATTATCATTTTATTTCGTAATTCGGCTTTTCGCTATTAATTTTTCAAATTTCACGCGTAAAGCATGATGGGATAACGGAGGCGCAAACAAGCCAAAACAATTTTTACTTAGTAAATTAAAGAAAATAAATAAAGAAAAACTAAGTAAATAAAACATATAAATTAGAAAAAATAAAATTATATAAATTATAAAATGGGTGGGGGGGATCATTGCGTCGTTCAAAACTGCAACAACGATAGAAGATATCCAAATAAATACGTTATCAAAGACCATATTAACAGTTTTAATGGTAGTTTGCAACTAAAATTTTGGAGATGCAAGGACGCTAAGATGTTGCCTAAATGGAATTCAAAAATTGGACTTTTTAGAAGTCATTTTAGAGTTTTTCTTAACTCGCCAGTCTGTTCAAATCATTTTAAAATGGGACGACCTACTAATATTTATCCCTACCCCACAGAATATTTAAATGGTTATGATAATGAGCTAAAAAACCAAAAATCTCCATTAAAAAGATCCTCAGAACTCAACAAGAAAAAGTTTGTTGCTAAGCTTAGCGATAATCATTATCAAAATGAATATAATCACGATCAAAATATAATTAATCATGATAAAAATAATGATTATCATCATCAAAATGAAAATACTCAGCCTATGGATATTCATTATGATCACGATTATGCATTACCTGTTGTTCCTGTTTCTGTTTCGTTAGAAAAAGACTTAAAAATACTTCAAAATACTCCCAAAAGAATACTAAAAAAACCTTTGTTATTAAAACATCGTAAACGATTGCTGAGTAAGTTTTCTTTGATACCACAAGCAGAGTTTACTTGGAATAGGTTATCCCATTCGGATAGATTGATAAAGTTCTACACTGGGTGCACAAAAAAAGTATTTATATTTTTAGTTAGTAAAGGAAAGAAAAAATATGAAAACGTATGTTATTACAAGGGAAAACCTTCACAATCTTTTAAATTTAGAAGCGAGAATAAAAAAAAACCAGGGAATAAACGCACTTTAACAATTGAGGATGAAATTCTACTAATGTGCATGAAGCTCCGACTAGACTTGGCTATGCAAGATTTAGCATTTAGATTTTCAATTTCTAATTCTCAATGCTCAAGTATATTAACTACCTGGATTACTTATTTTGGAAATGAGTTAAAACCTCTTCTTCTTTGGCCAACAAAAGAAGCAAATTTGTTATATAAAGCAAGGCATTTTTCTGGAAAGTTACACAACGTAGAAGGTATAATAGACTGTACTGAGCAAAAAATTCAGAAACCATCAAATGCGAAGGCACAGTATCAAACATTTAGTACTTATAAAAGTTGTAACACATTAAAAAAACTAGTTGTGACAACAAAAACTGGTTCTTTCAGTTTTATCTCCAAAGCTTATGGTGGCCAAGCTTCAGATAGACACATTACAGAGGACTGCAATGTTATTAATATGTTTTCTGAAGGATCTGTTTGCTTGGCTGATAAAGGTTTTAATATCCAAGATTTACTCTTAAAAAAAAAAGTCGTATTGGTTTGTCCACCTTTTAAAAAAAAAGGACTACATTTTACACGAACTAAAGTCCTCTCAGCCAAAGAAATTGCTAGATCACGAGTCCATGTGGAGCGATCAATTCGACGACTTAAAGAATTTAAAATATGTAAAAACGAGTTATCACTAACAATGCTAGATCTCATTGATTACATATATATTATTTGTGGAGCTTTAAGTAATTTACAACCCTCAATTGTAAAGGAATTTATCTGATGTAAATTAAATATGCTGATACTAATAAAAAGATATCTCTATTTTTTCTTTTTATTTTTGTATAAAAAAAAAAAAAACATCACAAAATACTTATAATATAAATGTTTTCATCAAATTTTTAGCACAATGTCATATTTTTTGTTGATCAAGATTTATGATGTCGTTTGTTAATTTTTCATTAACTTGTTTACTGTTTGAATCATTAATGCATTTCTTTATGAGATCATTTAAAATTGTAGTAACTATTTCTTTTTTCTCAAGTTTCTTAGTTATCAATTCAGGGAAAACATACTCTGTAAAAAATTTCTGAAATTTTTGTTCATTTTTTTTATAGTTAGGATCAGAATAAATTCTTTCACAGTTTTGATCACTTGCTAAACATACATAGAAATCAGCATGAGGATAGCCACTTATAAACAACTGGTGTTGTATTTGGGTGCGATATTGATGACTACTTTTCAGTGAGTATGTGTTAGTACAAGAATTTTTTTCTAAAAAAACTTTCAGCACTTTGAGCATATTCACATATTTTTTTCTGCCTAAATGTCCATGGACATTTAATTTCAAGCAAACCCAACCCACAACAAGTACAACTTGTTATACCATCTGGGCTTGCTGTAAGATAAGGTGTTTTGATGGATACTATTAGGCCGGTTTGATAACATGTAAAGTTTTTATGAGTTTTTTTCATTTCCCTGATATATCTTTTTCGAGCATAGGATTCAAACATGTTACCCCATTGAATTGATTTACTTTTAGCATTATTTTTGTAACATAAAATTTGAGCACATAAATTAAATGCTGCCTTTTTGTTTTTCACTTTCAAGTCAACATCAAATTTTGCTATGACAGCATGAGCAATAGATGATGATATTGTTCCAACTCTATATGATTTCCAAAGTAAACTTTTTGATTGAGATATCGTAGCTTCTTTTATAAGTTCTGCTCGAGATGGTGTTATTGAAAACGTCCTTAAAAATTTTTCACATTTAAATGTTATTGATTCATTCTTATAAGACATTCTATCTGAGCTACATAATGCTCTATGGTAGGTGGTAGCACTTTGTTTTTAGTTGCATTTAAAGGTAATTTTTTCATAAAGTATTCTGACTGTATATTTGGCTTGAGGCAAATTACAGCACATTTTCCATCTGTTGCTTCTGCAACTGCTTCCCAATCTTCCTTTGTAAACTCTGACTGCTTTAAATAATAAGGACGAGGATCATATAAGAATCGACTGAGTTTTAGATTACTATTTTCTAAGCTTGATTTGACTTTTTTAATGGAAATATTTTAGTATGAAAATTTTAAATTAATCATATACTAAAATATTATATATCATTTGAAAGCTTATAATACAGTATTCTAAAGATGAAAAAATTATAAAAAACGAACAATTAGACAAAAAGTTATGTCGCTTTTAGTATCAAAATTTTGATATGTGGAATTGTTGAAGAAACTGTCGTCAAAATTTAGTTTTTCTTTACCTAAATTGTTATAACATGTTAATTATAAACGAAATGCCTATAAATTGGTATCAAAAGATAGGTGCAACAGTGGACTACAAAAATAAAACGGCTTCTGCCAACCGGGCATTTCCAGGGGCTAGAGGAGGTGCTGAACCATCACTTATACCACCCAAAAAAGCATATTTCTTACATAGTAAGAAATATGCTTCTATTAATAGTAAGCGTCTAATTAGTCATTTCTATATATAACTTTTAATATAATCTGCTCTTACACCACTACCACCACATATGAAGGAGATAGTTAACACACCCTATTATCAAAAACAATTCATTCTTATAAATTTTTTTATCTTTGTAATAAAAAGGAAATTTATAATTATAAATAAAAACCATATTTTACTTCATTACAATAGATACTAGTGGTGAATACATTGATTTAGGAAAAAGGATGTGTGTGCCATCCCCCTCCAACCTTATTAAAGTAAAAAAAAAAGACATAAAATGTGATTATTTATAGAAACTAATACAAAAAATAATTAGAATATTATAAGAGACTAACATAAAAACGTATACCACATTACAACACTCTAGATATAAGCTAAACATTTTTTACCACATTACAAGACTCTAACTGCCGGTAGTATCCAGGGGGTACCGAACTTCACTGCCAAAAATGCATATTTCGTCCGAAATAGGGCATTTTTTTGTGAAATTAGTCATTTCTATATACAAAATGTTATTTAACTTTAATACAATTAATATATAATATAAGTTTTTATTGAACTTTAAATTTTTATTGCGGTACCTTTTTTGCAAGTCACACCACTTACGGTTCCTTTTTTTATATCATAATATTCAAAATATGAAAAGATCAACTCTCCTGCTATAACATCAGCAGCAAGCTGAAACTTTTTCATGCAATAGTCAACTACTTCTACTTCATCTTTTTTCCAATAAAAAGTAGTATAAATTTTGTCTTCTTTTCTTTTATTTACTTTTTCTACTCGCCCATCATATGTAACAGATTTATTAGTTTCAAACCATTCATGTCAGAGTTCTCTGCCAACAAATATTTCTGGCATTTCGTCACCTAAGTCCTCAAGTTAATTGATAGAATAAATGCTTGTATAAATTTTTCATATCATTAAAAGATAGTAGACGCAGGTCTCGTTCAAGCTTTATTTTTTCTTTTTTATCCATTATTCGCCTTTTGCATGTCTTTCTATTTGAAATTTCTTTTCGTAACGCAGTATGATTTAACCGATTGTTTAGCCGTTTTGTACGAGCTGCTTGCATTGACCACTTAACTAGACTTCCTCTAGATACTTGGTCAAGACTATTTAAATAATCCAAAGTCTTATTCTCTTTTGATCTTATTTTGCAAGACATATAACATAAGTTGCATAAGGGGATCTACATTTAGCTTCTCTGAACAAACCTATTAACTCTTCACTATCTATGAAGTGAAGCCTTCTCCTCTTTGAGTGTCGCTGTAATGGAAAGGGAGAAATATCTCTCATATTGGCGTCTCAAAACATTCTTTACTGCAATAAGACATGCTGTAATCATGCCAACAAGCTGATCATCAATGGAGCATAATTTATTTATAGGTTCTAATACCTTCGGTTTAAGAGGATTTCCAAAAAAATCATTTTTTCTTTATAATAGTGCACCTAGATTAGAAATGCAACTTTTAATTGTTTGCAAAGCATCTTTAACTACCTGGATACCGATAATATGATCAATACTTGCTTTATTAGCTGATACATAAAATGTTTCCATCTACGGTCCAGTGAGTAGTTTAGCAAATATTGCTAGCATGCACATTTTTTTTATGGCAGTTGTATTGCAAAACGCTGATCGCAGTGCTGTTTGAAAAGTTACATACTTTACTATTCCAATAGTTAGAAAGTTCTTAAAAGCATTGTAGTGTTTTATAAAGTTGAAACAAGTACGAAAAAGAATGTAAAGACGATTGCCACGATATTTTGGAATTAGACCTCGTAGCAGTTTTTTATTGTTTAAAAAGTTAAAAAAGCTTTCAGGATCATCCTTGCTATTTTTAAACCTCAATTTGTTCATTATTAAAACAATTTTAACTGTCATGCAATTGTATCCAAATAACTGACCAGTTTCTATTTCCAGAGACTGTTGGTCTGCAAATGGGTGGGTGCAAATGACAGTTCAGCTCATTCAAACCCTTAACCCAGGATTCAAAAATTTTGGTTATTGTAAGATATTTAAGATAATTGACTTACGACACTTGTCAAAATAAAATGTGTGGTAATCTGAATAAATTAAAGCCATATAATCCACTGAGTTACATAAGTGTTTTTGATAATCATCTTATGTATCCTTTGATGTCAAGTGAATGCTGTTAATATTGACACCTTCTTGTGTTGTTGTATCAAACCCTAGAGTCAGATTTTTGTACCGAAGGCCCATTCTGCAGCTTGTAGGTCAGATATACTGCCAAGCTCACAAGCCATTTGCTCAACAGTAATGCGCTGATAAAAAATATCAACACCAAAATTTTGTTTTATTTTCTTCGATAAGAATGGAATATTACCTGTTGAGACATTTGAAAACAACATGCATTAAATTAACAATCTAGTTTGTAATGCATAAGACTTGCTATCTTCTGACGTATATAAAATTGCTATAATTTCCTCCTCCATCTGGGTCATACCATTTTTTGAACTAGATAATGCTATTTTATTTTTCCTAATGATTTTATTACTTTTGAGGTTAATTTTTCTTTTTTTAAAGTTTTTCTTTCTCTTTAATTTGTATAGTTTCTCTTGTATAAATAAGGTTGCGAATACGTCTACTGTAATGATATGTTTGCAATTTCTGTTTTAATTCTATAACTTCTTCTCTTAAAGCTTTTATTAAACTTAACATTTTTAATTTATATGGCATGGTCTTTATTTTAGAGTTTACGAAATCTTATTTTTGTGTTCTTTGGAAGAGCTAGCTAACTTTAAAGACAAATAAGACAAACTATTCTTTAACTTTTATTCTTTAGAGTTAATTTTTCTCATGAACTCTGTCTAATTTGTAAATTTACAATTTGGCCTGGTAAACATAAAGATTCACTATTTACTGGAGATAGCATGTTGTTTTCTAATGATAAAAAATTAAAGATATAATGTTTATAGACGTAGACGTAAATGCACTGGCTTTTTTATTGCATAGGGCTCATTGCAAAACGCAGCAAAATAATTGGAATCTCTTTTAAAGTTGCAAACCCGTATCAAACCCTTTATTGAAAATTAATCCCAAATGACACCCAAAGTTCTACTTGTGTTGTCCGCCATGTTCAACCCAACTCAAAAATACTTCATTGGAGTAGGGTCCTGGGTGCGGTATTGCCTAAATTTCTCAAATGTTAATTGTAAAAGTAAAGTATTAATAACTGAGTAAAAGATGAAAGATATTGATGGTCTATTCAGAAAACCACTTAAGTTTAGACAAATATAAATTATTAAACTTTTGAAAAAATTATATTATGCAAACATACCACTGGCACTAGAAGCAGACACAACTAAATGTTTGTGACCCAAAACATG